TGTTTCATTATGATCCCGAGATACATCGTCTCCCAGCAGCTTCATCGGCTCCCTCCCACCCTGTAGGGATGCAGTCTGGTCTTGCTCGTCAATCACGTCGAGCATGTGCCAAAATGCTCGTCAGAGCAGGCCATCGATGTCCCACCTGCTTTTGCTTGACTTCGCTTTGCCGTTGTCAGCGTGAGAAAGTCATTCGCTGCCTCCCTTCTCTGAGCTACAACTGTTCAAGCCATTCCCCGCAAGAGTGTCCAGCATTGTCATCATCTGTGTCTCAGGCTGGAGGACCTCATCTCTATTTCAGGCTGGCATCCCAATACCTCTGTGATCCCGGGCAATCTGCGTGCATCTTTGTTGTTGATCTGCACAGCACGAGCTATCCGCATCCCTGCCAATGGCAGGTCCTTCACCGTTCCTACTCACGACGACAACGACGTCTATCTCTTCGGAGAAGAGTGCATGGGTCTCCGGCCTCAGAGCTTGTGCAGCATGCTGTCAACTTGATCTGCAGCTGGCTTGTCCCTTGCAGTTTTTCGGCCAGCATGAGCTCCCACCGCCCAGGGGGCGGGCCTAGGCAGCACTGCAGGCCAGATGGCTCCAGACGGAGGACAGCAGGAGAACTGGCGAAGCGCGCGGCAAGAGCAGCTGCGCGTGCAGCTACAGATCAGGCTGCACTAGATGCCGGTGCTGCTGGAGATCAGACCACGGCTCCTGACCCGGCCTCCGGTCCCGCATCGTCTTCTGGTCAAAGTGCTGAGCCCAAGCAGGTGTCGGTCTCAGCGGCCCCCAACAGGGAGCCGGACCCCTCCACCACGACCCCACCAGGCGCAGCAACGCAAGGCACCTCAGCTGAAGCATACCCTAACCCGACTGGTCGGGTGCAGCCTCCCCCGCCTCCACCCGCACGGCTTTCTCAACCTACCACGAAAGCGTCCCAGCAGGGTATGGCCGCGGGGCCTGGCCCCGCATCCCAGAAACCAAGCAGCGGAGGAACAAAGATTTGGGTACCCACTTTGAGGATGAAGGCGCCTCCACCACACCTTCTCAAGGAGGAGCCGGCTGGTGATGCCTCTCAGCCATCTCCTCCACCGCCACCACCTTCCCCACCGAAGCGCTCAGCAGCAGCTCCGGTGACAGCGCCAATGCCACCGGTTTCCCGAAGGAGAACCAAACGGAGCCGCACTCAGCCCCCGCGGCCGGTGCCGGATGAGGTACTGGCCAAGGAGAAGTGGACACAGATGGCTGATCTGGAAAGGCGGGTCACGGACATTCAGGACGCCGTGGTCCTGGCCATGCTTAATCTTTTCCAACTGGCGGGGCATTATACCTCGCAGCATGGACCCTTCCATGACCTTCGAGACGCTCTCCAGCGAGACCAAGTGTGCGGCCCCTTCGGGGAGCCGTTGCCCCTTCCTCCAGTTGGAAATTGGATACTCGCACTAGGTGTATCGCTCCTCGGGCTCGACTCTCCAGATGGGCAGGAGTTGTTTTCCCGAATTGCAAACCATCAGACTGCGGGAGATCTGGTTGAGGCGTGGTCTCTCCAACTCTGGGAGCGTGGCTATCGGCGAGCAGCTGTCGGGGTACTTTTTACTACTGCACAACGTCCTGACCGGCATTCCGCCTAGATTCTACACTGCTCTGGGTCAGGGATGGCGTATCACGTGGGCTGAGTTCAAAAATGTCATGAGAGCCTGGCTAGGTGATTCACCAGCCCCGGCACTACCTGCCCTTGATCAAGTACCTGCGGCAAGTGTTGAACCGGCCCTCCTGGGCGACTATCGGAGCTTCTGGAGCCCGCTCCCTCTCGCCGAGAGACGGCCCCCTCCTGGGGCGCCGAACTGATTTAATCGACGGTGCAACGGATGCACGTGTCTTTCCTACGATTCTTTTGCCTTACACTTTTCCTGCCTTCCAAGTCGGATCGGCATTGCCTCTGCAGCTTCAGGACCAGCCTGAGTGTGCGTATATGGCTGCCCGGTCTACACTGTATGCAGCTCTTTTGCCTATCGGCTGTATCCTTCTTTCGCTGCTCAGCTGTTTGCACCGGTGTACCACTCACTTTCTCAGCTGTTATCTCTGGTCTGGTGCCCGGTACCCAGGCACTTGGGCATCAGCGAGCTCCTCTGCAGCCCGCCGCGCTCACGATGTGCAACAGCTTAGGCGGTGCCTTCGTCCCTTCCAGACCCTTCGTCGACGGTTTCTGTTTCTGCTCTGTGTAGGGCGCCTTCTCCAAACCGGGACATGCACTCGGACTGGCTCAGGAGCGGGGGAGGTGACCACCATCCCGGGGCGGGAGTCTACCCCGTCCAACGTGCAAAATCTGCATGACACAGCTCGTCTTCCACCGGCAGCTGCGGAGAAGACTCGCATCCCCCGCAAACGAGCCCTACGAAGAGCCATTGGTCGAGCTGCCCGAAACCCGGCTCGTTCCACTCACTACAAGGGGCGTCTATGTACCTTCGACAATCTTAGGGGTGTCCCGGCAGGTCATGGCACTCGGCCCGCAGAGCGGAGCCGACCTGGAGACGTTGACACCAAGCACGGCCCTCGGCTTAGAGCTATGTCGTGGAACGTCGGTGGCCTATCACAGGAGGCGTGGCTAGAGGTGCAGATCTGGTTGCATGAGCAGGAGGAGCACGATGTCATCTTGCTTCAGGAGACCCATTGGCGGTTTACCAGCTCGTGGAGCCTCCCACGCTATCACATTTTTCATAGTGGAGCGACAGACCACCGATTCCAGGGCTGTATGATTGTGATCAGTAAGTCGGTCACCTCGTTTGAATCCGTCCGTTGGTCTGCTCCTCTTGTCGGTCATCTCCTGCATGTCCGTTTTCCGGTAAAGGGCCGACATGTGGACGTTATCAATCTTTATCAGTATGCACTGCACACCGGCCCCGATAGGGCAGCCGTTCTTCACAAGAGGGAGAGAGTCTTGCATCATCTCGACAAAACCCTCTCCTCCTTACCCATTCGGAACGTTCTTCTGGTCGGGGGCGACTTCAACTCCATGGGCACCCGAGACTCCATGCCCTTTGGACCTGGCACGTATCTCGGACCCAACCCCCATCCTGATAGACAGCTCCTTGCCAATCTTGCGAACACCCATCGTCTTACGGCCCTGAATACCTGGGGCCGTGTCAGCAAGGCTGCCACGTTTGAAAATGATCAAGCTCGTAGTCAAATCGACTTCTTCTTTGCGCGTACCGCGCAAATTGACGGGCGCTCGAGGTGTGCTTGCACGGACGTCCTGTTTCATCTTCTGCGCTGGCGTGGAGGTGCCCGTCACTACCCCTTACATGTGTCTGTTCCGGCAGTTCACTATCAATCGCCTGCTAAGGTGCCAGGCGAGTCTATGGCCTGCGCACCGAATTACCAGCTAACTCAGCCCCCGGAGCGTGTACAGGCGTTTTGTGAGCACCTGGCAAGCATCCTTTCTGCCCCGAGTGAACCATCAGAACTAGATCATGCTTTGCAGCAGGCGGCGGCCAAGCACCTGCTTCCTGTTCAGCCGAGGGCCCATGGTGATTCCGTCGCGACAAGGGTCACTGGCATGGTAAAGCAGATGTGGAACCTCAGGCATACGGCGCAGCAATTTGCCCTGGAGGTCCTGCGACCCTTCACCATCGTCGCGCAAATTCGACACTGGCGAGGCACTGGGGAGCGTCTCTGGTATACGCATGGGCAGTTGCTCTCTGCTTGGAGACACCAGGCTGCTTACCTGAGACAGCATCGCCATCTCAGGCGCCGGGGGCGTCAGGCGAAGAAGGAACTCTTGGAGGAACAGCTCCAGCAGGCGTGGGAGGCGGACCGACAAGGGGATAAGTCCTCCATTTGGAAGGTAGTGAACAAGTTAGCTCCGCGCACGGCTAGGGTGAAGATCCAGTTACGTGGGGACAAGGGAGACTTGCTCACACCAGTTGAGGAGGCTGAGCGGTTTAGAACTTACTGTGAAAAGATCTATAAATTGGAGGTTGCCTCTGACACGTTTTCTTTATAGGAATATTATGCACTCTTTCCGGGTATATTATGCAGTCTCTTTTGGTTGGATTATGCATTCTTTCTTGGTGCATTATGCATTCTCTCTTGGCTGGATTATGCATTCTCTCCTGGTGCATTATACATTCTCTTTTGGTTAGGTTATACATTCCCTCCTGGTGCAACCTAGGCATTCATGGGTTACATAATCTCTCCCGGTACGAGTGTTCACTCCTACATCGAACACAAAACCGACTAATTAGTATAAATTATAAACCCTTCCAATCGACCTTGATCTTTCCCACTTCGCTATGAAATACTACCCTCTTGCCCGTGTTAGTTCAAAATCTGCACACCAAGCGGCCGACCTGTAAGCAAAGGTTAGACTACCGACATGAGCACTTGGTGGTGGCGGTGGTGGTGGTGGTGGCGGCGGTGGTGGTCCAGTGGTGGTGTTGTGTAGCACGTGGTCGTGCTAGTGGTAAGGTAAATGCGGTAAATGTAGTAATGACAAGGCCCATGGCAGTGGGAATGGTGGTGATCTTGGTCTTGTTGATGGTACTTGGTGACGAATGGCTCATGGTTCATGATTCATGAGGTATGAATCGGTAGGGTGCGGTATGATATGAACCAGCAGCGACCCGAAAAATCGGCAGTGTCGTTTCTGCGGAATCATTCCGTCAATCCTTTGCTGGGCTTTGCCGTGAGCCTGGCATCGAATCTTTGATTCGAAGACTCAGTTGCCCACTTGGGTTGAAGTAATGCCCCCAATGACCCCTGAAATATAATTACAGATGTCGTGTGCATTGGTGTACTTGTTGTACCGCCCTCGCACAAACATCACACCCGGCTGTTATCAGCAGGTTGATTGGCAATAAAACCATCCCGCAAAAATCGGCCCCCGAAGGCTTTAGGATTAGAGTTTATAGAAACTATAAATTATAAAGTGAATTAAAGTTTGGGGCTTCAGGATCAAAGGGCAAACTAGGTGGACCAACGGCGGATGGTTCGAACCATGTGGCTCCTCACTTTCCCGTGATAGCAGTGGCCTTCTTGACTAGAGATGGCTCACACTTGATGCTCTTCTTCTGAAAAGCGCCAAGACATCGGCTTACCAAGCCAACCCGTGTTTCACCTGGCTGAAGGTCTCTGCAAAGAGCTTGTGCTAGAGTCATGTTCGATTGCAAAGCTCGGAGCTCAGCCATTGTGATCATCGCACCTGTCTCGCTGCATGACACCCCCGAATCCTGGGCAAGCAACTTCTTCGCATCGGCCACGACACCGCTAAGCAATGCCTTCGAAGATTCACTTACCCACGAAGGAGTCGGCAAGCCTTGAACATCTTGCAAGAATCCGATCAAGTCGACGAAGAACCGTTCTGTCTTACTGGAACTCAATGCAATCTGCCTCATCGAGGGATCTAGGCACAAAGCTTCAACAATCTTCTTGTCAAGGACCTCTTGCTTGAACATGTCCAAGCTATGTTTGCTAGCAACGTCTTGGTACAAGCTTGCAAGCGAAAGCTGCACATCTGCAACCTCCTGGCCGAAACTGCCGATGACTTCCGCGAGATGTGTCTTCACGATGTTCTGGAGCTGCTTGTAGTACTCATCGATGCCGGTCATCTCGCCAACGATCTCGGCGGAAGCGGACTGCATGGTCTCGAAATCCAGAACAGCCTTATGGAACTTCGGCAGAACGGAACGGATGCACTGGAGCTTCGAGCTCCTGTTGTTCTCCCAAATGAAGTTCTTCTTGTCCGCTGTAGTGGCAAACTTTGACAAGATGTCGTTGAAGGGCAAAAGCTTGCAGGTCGCAGTCATGCAATGCTTGAAAAAAGCAACCATCTTGGCGACTGTCAGGAGAGCTCCGGCAGTGCAAGGGAATACTGCATGTACTCTCCGGGACCTCGCCTCCTGACCGTCGTGCACGGCGATCGGGATGTCCACAAACTCCTTGCCGATGTGCTTGACATAAGCATGGAAAACGAATCCGAAGTTCAAGGTCTGCTTGCAATCCTGGGTTTCCGCTGCGGCTGCCTCCGACAAAGAGGTTGTGTCACCGACAACATTTGCACTAAGCGAAGCATCAGCATTGACTTCTGCTTGCAGCAATTGCTCTACGAAGGCATCGAATGTGGCAGATGTTTGTGCGAGCCATCCACAAATGGACCTTGTCGTACCTTCTTGCAGGAGGGAGAAGCAAGATTTAAAGTAGGGCAAGGTGCGGAGCATCACTTCGTTCGCACGGACATCAAAGAAGATGGCAAACACATCTGCCAACGACTGGTTGGCGAGCATCTCCTCGTTTATATTTTTCTTGGTGATGACATCTGTCATCTGGGGGAATGCCGCATGGAGGCTCGTGGCATACTTTGCCACGGTCTGCACGATACCATCCAACTCCTAGAAATTGAGTTTCGGTTGTCTATTTTCGCCAATTGACAGCGAAAACACGGTGACTTACAGACTACATTAATGACGAGACGATACGGTACTGATGCTAAATCGATAAGCTGCTATACTGGCTATACTGCTATACTATACTATGTAAGCTCTGCAAAACCCCGGTACCGGGATGCCTCAGCCAGTGTCTTACCCAAGATCTTCACGACAGGGACTTTATTCAACGGCTGGAAAGAGCTCATCTGTGCGAACGATGTGGCAATGGATGATGTCAAGCTAGTCATCTCCTCTTGTGTGCCACCCTTGACCAACTTTGTAATGTCCGTCTCCATCTTCTCGAAAGTGTTCTTGTACTTCAGAACCATAACCTCCTGGAGCACCGAATGCAGCTCGGCAACCTTTGATTTCACCAACTCCATCCGTTCATGGACTGCTGGCATTGCCTGCAAGCTCTGACTTCCTTTCTCTTGCACAAGCAGCCACTTGCCAACCATGTCGGCCAACTTGGAAACAGCCGGGATGCTGACTTCTTGAGAATCCTTGAGCACAGATTCCACTTTCCACGGTTTCAATGTGTTTGCATACTGAGCAGCAGCCTCCATGTCGGCTGCAAGCACAGCATCTGCACGGACTTGTTGGACAACATTGCCAATTCTCAAGCAGACCTCCATGCCCACGGGAAACATCGCCAAGGAAGGGTACCACGTAGACGTCTTGATCTTTAGAAAGCTGTTCTTCGTTGTGTCCAACTGGTCACAGGTGGTCGCAGGGAAGAGCTCCATGTCATAGCTGGGGCCTTTGACCTTGGAAGCTGCTTCGGCAAGGAGCAAAAGCTTTGCCAACTCATCCACCAGAGAAGCCTTGCCGGCAGCTGTCAGGGCGTCTGACACGGGGCTCTGCTTGACTGCATTCAAGAAACTCACAATGTCTTCAATGCCATCTTGAAGCTGCTGGTTTTTTTCCTCTTCGGTTTTGCCGGGAATTGGTCGCATGAAGAGGTTGCTAACACAGCCTTGAAGGCAGCCAGCCTGAAACTCCAGCAAATCTGCTGTCAAGGTAGTATCAGTCTCAGGCATGAGAGAGGCAATGCCATCCGGATAATCCGCCTTGAAAGTAGGATCAAGGAACTTGCAAATATCATCCCATTGTTTCTTCATGACCAACTCCTCCGCCCTCTTGCGGCAAACGAGCACACTGACATTGGGCGGCAATGTCACCTTGCTCTCCTTGGCAAGGGCCATGGCCCGAGTAGACAAGGTCGTTGGGGCTGCTTCTGCATCATGCAAGGCCTCCACAAATTCGCCGGCATAATTGAGGAATTCTTTGGCTTCCTTTAGCCCCTCCCAAGCCATGGTCGCACGTCCTAGCGGGCCTGTGGCACGAATTGCCTCCTGGCACATGGCTGTGAGCTCGTCGGAGAGTCTGGAATCCACCCTGTCATCCAAAGATTTCACCTTCTGCAGGGAGAGTTCGAGGACCTGTTCAGGGTCTTCAAAGGCCAACTTCAGCTGCTTGCACTGCAGAATAATTGCCTCGGTTTTTTCCAGCTCTCTGGAGGTCCTGGAATCATGGCCCTTCCGTCTGCTCTCCTTGTTGAATGCAGTCAATGCAGGCAAACTGCTCAGGCTCAAAGGCAATGCTGAAGTTGCCGGTGTATTGGCGGTGGCACTCTCACCCGTGTCGCCTGGATTCGTCGTCGTGTGTCGCTTCCTCGGCTTTTTCTTGGCGGGTGACACGTGCTCATCGTCGCCCTTTGACGACTTCGAGTTGCCACCTGCAGTGTGACCGGGACAAAGCCAGGTTTTGGAGCCCAAACTGCGGGTTTGAGAGGGTTACAAACCGATACTTGGAAATGTCAGACGGCGAAAGCAAGACCTTGTCCTCTGAGATACGACAAGACACTATGGACTATGGACTATGGACCGTGGACTGTGGACTATGGACTGTGGCTATGACTTTGGATAAACCCTAAATCCTAAACCGAAACCCTAAACCTAAACCTAAACCCCTAAACCCCGACTGTCACACCCTGGCCTCCAATCACTGTCTCCCCAAACAAGATGGCGGCCAGCTCGTCGTCGCTGTCAACCTTCGCCTGCTTGAGCTGGATCTCCCCAGACTCCGCCGTAGTTGCAGACATCTGCAGTGACTTTTGCATTGCACCGAAGGTCTCGTCAGCATCACCACTTTCATCTGAATCGTCGTGGGCCATGACGTGAACCCGCCGAGCTGTTTTCGAGCTCTCGCTTGAGACCTCTATGCAGCCCACGGCAAACTCCTTGAGGGTGATGCCCTTGATTTTCCGTCCCTGATGTGTAATGTGCTGGCAGCGCTTGGGCAAGGGCTTGTCATGTTCTTTCAATAATGAAAGCGGCCAAAAGTAGCCCATCACCTGTTTCGTTGTGATGGAGCTACTCTGCAGAGCTTCAGCTCGATCTCCACCGTCCTTGGACTTCGCTTTGAGTCGAATGTTGCCATCACGGCGGCCGGCCTCCCACTTGGTCAGGTCCTCCATGTACTGCTCGAAGTTGCTGTCGTCGTCGAGGTACGTCAACCGCTGACTGTGCGACATGCCCTGGAAGCGGGTATCCCGCTCCATGAAGCTGTAGCACGGGCGGCACTGTGCGGCTCCAACACACCGCCTCTTCAGCAAATCATCTGCAGCCGGATTTTTGACCATCGGATTCTTTGTGCTATCGAAGGACCTTCTGCAGGTGCGACAGCTGCTGTGGACATGGGCTTTGCCTGAGCGACGTGCCACCATGTTCTGATCCTCGGACCACACTGCTACCAAGGGAGGAAGAAGCGAACAAATCTGTGCCGAAAGAGCGGCCGATTGGTTGGCGAGTGCCGAGTCCTGCTGCAACAGCCCAACCCAACCTATAGACAGAAACGTCGAACAACGTCTGCTGCAGCATTCCAAATCAGACAGTATCACGGGACCGGTTGCTGCGACTGCACCGGAAACAGTAGTGGCTAAATAAGAGCAACAACAGGCTTGTAACACAGCTGATTCCTGAGATGATGGCTTGGTGGCCTGGATTATGGAAGGGGGATAAATACAGTCGACCTGGGCACATCCTACGGTTGCTGATTGAATAAACCATACATTTCCATTTAACCTAAGCAAGGGAAACTAGTGAGAGAAAGGTACAGCAAGGATACAGGACACAGCCTTAACAAACAGTACCCAGAATCTGATGATGGACATAGATAAGTCTGATGCTGCATACGTTGTATATGCTACCGAAGTTGTGCTACCGAAGTTGTAGAAAAAACAATCATTGTACTCTTGTCTATAACTTGTCAACACAGAGCAGAACAGCCGAACACAGCCGTAATAATATAGTAATATTGCACTGAACTATAATAGTCTTGCCAGAACACAGAACAGCAACACACAACGATGTGTGTAAGTGGTAGTGATAGTCTAGATCGTTATTGTCGGCTCATCGACAGCGGCTTCCAGAACGACTTCCAGCAACTCGTATTATTCTTGTTGGTCCTTCTTCAAAACCTGGTTCCCGGCTGTGTTCCTACGGCCCCCTAACTAGCCGCCCAACTAGCCGCCCAGGGCTCCTTGATCCTCCCAGACTATGCACTCTTCGGCCCCGCCAAGAAAGTATAATCCCGGGGGCCCCAGACAGTATAATTGTGTGGTTCCCCCTAGTACTGCTGGGATTATGCAGTCTCCTGGTCCTCCCAAATTATGCACTCTTCCGGGCCCTTAGAGAGTATAATTTTGGACCCCCAGAACCCAAATTTCGGTGTCGAGATCTCGGTTCTTTTAGGATCTGAAGGCACACGAAAAGAACAGGCCCAATGGCCGAGCATCATGAGCATCATCCGGGTTTGGGGCCTACCCTCCCCTCCCCCAAGCCTCGGTTCTTTCAGGATCTAAAGGAAGGCCGAGCATCATGAGCATCATCCGGGTTTGGGGCCTACCCCCCCCTCCCCCAATCCAAGACCCAGCACCATGAGCACCAGGCAAGATTGTTGCCAACCCAGTTCGCCCCCTCCCAGGCTGCTGGCGGAGCGGCGGAGCCAGCATAAGATTCACTTGTCAATGGTCAATCTATTCTCTGCTGAAGCTCGGACGACATGGATCCGAGATGGCCTTTTTCAATCCCCTCAAGCACGAACCTTCATCCCCACAGATTGGCGCAAAGCTTTGCTGAGCTCGGCATGCTTCTCTTGAGACTGTACATGTGCTGAAGCTAGCCAATGCAAGAGCATATCGCAATGGCCTGAACGATTTATCCAGCAACTGCAGGATTTGTGGAGTTTACATGATGCACGAAAACTCTCCTCTCCGGTGTCAGACTTGACTAAAAGCTTGATCTCGCCAAGCGTGTATCTACTCCCGCCCTGGACTCTGTCAACCACACAGTAGGCAGTGCTGCCCTCGCCGCCGCCATAGACGGCCTCAATGATGCCACCATCACCTTCCTGCTTGATGATCTGTGTCCTCCGTGTCTCTCTCCTTGGCCCGACCCGACTTGAAGAGCTGGGGGGAGCCTGCGAAGAAGAATGCTCATGAGGTGCTTCCTGATGACGAGGTTCAGCAGGAAGCGGTCCCGTAGAAGATGAAGACGAAGATGCCGATGCTGATGCTCGTCCTGGACCGACAGAGCCATCTCCACTGCTAGCTACGTACTCAATGACTTCGTCGTCCGAAGCTTCTTGTGCCTGTGCCTGTGCCGATCGGGAAGCTTCCTCGGGCTCTCGGGCTCTTCCCCTTCTTGACACACAGTGACAGCCTGCCTCAAGGCATCGATCTCACCACTGCCCAAAATGGCATGGAGTTCTGGATCATCCAAGATGTCCTCAGGCTTGCAGTACAGCTTCAGGCTCTTAGGTTTCAGGCCTCGGACATTGAGTGGTTTAGGTTTTCAGCTTCAGGCTTAGAGGCAGGCTTTACTTTAGGATGTATCTGTATCTGTATCTGTATCTGTATACTGTATACTGTATACTGTATAAGACTTTGGGACTCTAGGCTTCAAGACTCTAGGCTTTTAACAAAAATTATGAGCTTAATAAGTTATCCATCGCAAATTATGCAGCCAAAATGTCAACGTCGTTGGCTGGCGGATCGGACTGAACAGGGGCAGTTGTCTTCCTTCTCTTGCGACTTCTTGAAGCTGGTTCACCTGAGTTCGTGACCTCTGCCACCTCCTGGTCCAGAAGCGACAGGTAATCGAAATCCTGCCCAAGGGGATCTGCTGGAGCATTCTCAGGAGCATCGCTCTTACCGTCGCCGTCATCGCCGTCGCCATACTCGCCGTCTGTACCGTCTGCACGAACAAGCACTCGTGTAAAACCAGGGCTGCATCCACTAATGCATACACGGCGAGGGGTGCGGTCGTGAAAACTTAGCTTGTTGATGACAACTTCAAACGATGTCAATCCTACCTCATCAAAGGCACTGAGCAAGTGGTGAGCAAAAGCATCGGAGGAAAGCATGTGCAGCCGACCCACTCGTGCAGTGGTGCTTGAAGCTGGCAGGTATTCCTGATGCGATTGAACATATGGCAAGGTTCGCAAGTCCAGCAGCAAGCCAGTGAATCTGTCCCTCTCACCTTCAACCGCCAAGTTCTCTCTACCGACTTCATCTGCAAAAACAAACACTTGTTCAGGTTTGTGCACCCCGCTTCTCGCTGAGACCGCAGTCACGAATGCAAACTCTCGCACAAGTTTCCGCTTAGATGTGTCAAAGACCTCGAACGAACAGACGATGTCTGCCCGCACTGCATCCAGCGGCTGACCGTGGCCCTTGACAATCTGCACAAAAGCCTTGATCAAGTTGCAATGAAGAGCAATACCTTGTGTGTTGAGGCCAAGAATGCTTAGCTATTTATTCCGGACTAGTTACACATCGCAAACAAGCATCCGGCATCCGTCCACAACACGTGAAACCGTGAAACCCTTGTGCCAGAACCCCTTCCAAGATCCAAGAGACGTTGGTGATCACCTGATGAGCGACACAAATGTCCGCAGCACGACTCATACTGAACCTTCTTGGGAAACTCGTCACCATCTGGGGGACGTGCGAGCCGCTCCATTTCACAATCGAACTTCGCGACGGCTGCAGCACTCGAGATGCCCTGTCGCCTCTGACAACATGCAATGGCTTCCAGAGCTCCCTCGGACACTGGGAAACCATGATAGCAAAGCTTCTTTCTGCCATCTGAACCATTCGTTACTGCTTTGATTTTGGACTCCAGCTCGCAAGCATTGCGAGCAGTCAAAGCTGATTCCAATGGCAGGACACCCAGAAACGAAGGCACAACGGCACCCGCACCGGCATGAGGCAAATGCGAAACCTCCTGTGCTGCTGCAACGACGAGAGCCGACTCGCGAGGCGGCCTGTCCGGAAGGGCAGAAACCTGTCTCCGTGCTTGCAGAGCCGCTTGCTTGCTTGCATCTGACAAAGCCTTGAAGTTTTGTTGTTGCTCCGCAGACAGCAACTGCCACGCCTTGCGAACCTCATCCCACGAGCTACGTACACAGGGATTGAACGTCGAGGAAGTGAGCTGCTGCTGGCATATCCAGTGAGCTCTGAAAATTTCAAAGGGTGACTTGCCTTTGGCCTTCTTTACTCTCTTGTCCTGGATGACAACATCCCGACCGCCTGCTAAACTCAAAGCGCCCGTCGCTACTTTCGCTGCCTTGGTGGTCTGCCTTGAATTCAACAAGGCCTCTGAGTTACTAAACTTCGAGGCCACGGTACTAAAGCCACAATCAGTGTTTTGGCGATTGGAAGCATGCTTCACCTCAACATCTGCGATGGACCATTGGATGCAAGAAGCATACCAATGAAGTGTTGCTTTCCAGCTGGACGATTGCAATTCCTCGCAAGTCACTTGCCGCAGCTTCAATGCTCGGGGCAAACCACCGGGCATGCAACAGACTCGCTTCCTCTTCCATCCCTCCAGAAACGATCCTACCATGCGAGGGCAAGCATCCGGGTCTGCAACACAAGCAATCGCAAACATATCGGAGCTGATGTACTCGTAATGGCGGCGGTATTGCCAGGCACAGGCAAAGAGAAGCACCCTGCGGATTTCCCGCACGAGGCCTGGCTCGGACCTACAGAACCGATCAAAGGAGTCATAACCCAACGGCATCCACAGCAAGCACAGTCGACCAAGCCCATCTGTTGTGCACACCAGGCTGCTATAGTGCTGCATGAGGCTGATCAAGATGCTTTCTCGCGGATCCAACATGCTGTAGAGTGCTGGTCGCTCGCCGGGAGTCAAGCTTTTGCCTAGACATGACAGCCAATGCCACGTGAGCATGCGATTCGCCTCCATGGCTACACATGCCAAGGAAATGCCCCACTCGGCATGTCTGTCTCGCAAAAACTCTCTGGCAGATTGCAACCTTCTACCGTTCACGGCATGGAATGCAAGCGACTCAACCAACCGGGGATCCACGTCTGCTGGGGTTGTGTCAAACTCTTGAAAGCTCATTTCGCCAAATGCCTCAGCAAAAATCTCCTGCAACCAGTCGTGAACAATGCTTCCTGAAAGGACAAAATCAAGCGGCCCAAACAGCTTGGACCACTTCGACGGGGCAGGAACCGCCGGCATCGAGGTCAGGAAAAGGTCTACCATGGCCTCGGCACACTTCCGCGCTGCTTCATCGCGATGAGAGCAATGTCGCTGCCCAACGGAAACATCTAAGCTGGAACAGATGTGACAAGGGGGGCCGAGCACAGGTCCGTTAAACATCTCCAAGAAAGCAGCTGCTGCACGATCAAAAGCAGATGCACCATCGTCCTGCGCAGTCTCTCTACGTTCATCCTCAGGCGAGCGACAATCTCGATCAAGCTTTTTCCAGAAACGAAGGTAGCTGACCAATTCATGTAGTGCTGGATTCGGCTGAATGTGGGAGGACACGTCGCTAGCAGTAACCTGCTGGCGAAAAACCAGCTGCCGATCGAGCCAAGCACGGGCAGCTTGCCTCATGCGAAGCCAGTATCCGAGATTTCGGATGAAGACACACATGCCGTAAATTTTGTTCAGCAGATTAGAACCAATGAGCCCCAACAGTGCAGCATTGTTTAACTGCACTGCATGGTTCATGCATCTGCAATGAGCAAACAGGACCGGATGCCGTGAGCCTGGCGGGCCAAACACACTCAGTTTGGCCTTCTGAGATAGATGGGCCAACAGCCTCAAATTGCTGCTAGCCCCGTCAGTCTCAGCTATGTCGATGTTGACAAGTGCAGACCTTCGAAGCAGCCCCACTAGCGAATTTATGCACTTGTAGGCTGGATGGTGCATCAATGCATAGTATTGATGCTCTGCCCCTGTCGCCAGGAGTGTCACCGGAGGCATGACCACTCGGAGCACAAGATTTGTGCCACTGGGCCACACCACCACTAGCCTCATCCGACAAACCAAGACTTGCCAGCTGGAGCGGACACGACCAGACTTGTCAGCATTCATGCTGCACTGCAATTGTGTCTCATCCCACTTGAAATGCTTTATGACAAGCAGCGGTGAATCAGCCAGACTCCATTGTGCAAGCTTTGCAAGGAAATTGGCTTGATGATTCATATAAGCAGCACTTACCATGATCTGCATGTGCCTGACTGTCGACTTGGCCACCCCTAAATGCAGAGCCAGCGGTGCATTCCGATGAATCTTTCCAAAAGCAGCCTGCAAAAACTGCGACCACGACAGACTCCGCTTATACCGATTCCCCTTGGTACAGGAGCGGGTCAGTTGAAGAGCGAGGCCCATGGCCTGTGGGGCACGAGCAACCCGAAGCTTCACGACTTCAGAATTCAACACGAACTGACTTTCTGAAAGGACATCGCTGACATCCTTTGAAAATTGCTCCACCCGCTTCGACAGCTTCACCGATCCTGAAGATGAGCAACAGACCAGGTTGGTTCGTCACAATTTTTGACAACATCAACTCAAACAATCAAACAACCCTCCTCAACACCGCTCCTTAATTGGACTAGCTACTCCGAATGCCTCTTTAAGTACATCCCCCAGGAGACTTGACAAAACGTCTCAGTGGAGAACAGTCACACAGCCGTACAAATAGTTCGTTACTATAAAGCTGAGGTTCTCATGTGACATGTCAAAAGCGATCGTTCAGCAAAGCCACCATGACGGCCTTTGCCAACCTTGCCCTTCATTTGTGGATATCGTGCACGTGCTCGGAAAGTAGGTTGCCCCGCGGGCACTACATCAAGTTCTGCTGCTGCTTGCTCTGAAAGCAGCTCCAATGCCGCAGCGCCGTTTTCTGCCAGTCTGAACTCATTATCGTCACCGGCATCACATATTTCTTCTTCCAACAAAGATAGGAAGTCGACATCCATGGCGGGAGGATCTCATAATACTTTACTGTTGCTGCACATGCTGCTAACTTGCATTTGGATCCTGGGTTCGATGTTGCCTGCAATATACAGGAGAGACCGGGTACGCCGGAGAGCTGGAATATGCGAAATGAGACAAGATCTGATAAGATCATCTAGTCCCCTCCTTTTCCAACCAATTTAAGTTGGGGGAGTGCTATCTCATCGTTTACAAACATTATTCATATTAAAATCTCGTAACGACAGAATGTCGAGCCATGGCAGCCGCGACCGTGTCGCCTGCTCGAATCCTGCAACAAGCCTAACCGAAGGGAGGATTCCGAACTCAGAGTAAGGGACCTCTGAATGCATAATAGAAGGCCTCTGAATGCATAATAGGGGACCTCTGAATGTATATTAAGGGACCTCCGAATGTATAATTGGGGGACCTCTGAATGTATAATAGGGGACCTCTGAATGTATAATAGGTGACCTCTGAATAGATAATAGTGACCCCGCAAAGCTTGGCAGGTATCTCCTAAAGACAGCCCACGAAAACGTGGTAGAGAGCACTACCAATCTATAAATTACCGCCACATCAACATTCTGATTCCATGGTCACACCTTCCCCTGTGTCGTCACCCTCGCCACCGGTTGGCGTACACCCTGCCTCTTCGCTCGATACCTCGTCTGCCGTGAACCATCCCGGTTACGCCTCTGATGCGCTGGTTGCCCTCCCGCCCGCTCCCGGCCCTCTCGAGGTGCCGCACCTTACGGAGGCGTTGTCATTGCTACCGGCGCGCAAAGCCACTCCGCCTCACCTAGCGCAGCTCCATCTGTGGCATCTGGGTAAAGAGGTTCTTCTCCCGCATCTCGCTACTCTCTGCCAACGACTCTGGCGATCACCTCACCAGTTCCATCAACTCTGGGCGGATGCCTGGATCGCGTGGCTTGCCAGGCCGGGCAAGGCCTCGGACCAGCCCGAGAACTTGCGGCCTATCTCCCTCACTGAGGGAGGCGGCCGTATAGTCGTCAAGGCACTCACTCTCCACCTGCGTCCGTCACTCACTGAGGCGACGTGGTCCTGGCCACAGTACGCTTATGTACCAGGACCTAGCATTGAACATGCGATCGTCCGCGCTCTGCATCACTGTAGCCGTGTTCAAGCTGCCATCGCGTCCCAGCGGGTCACTCTACAGGAGCGACGGACACCTGGACGCACTCCCACCACCTGTCAAGGACACCAGCAAAGCTTTTGACACAGTCGATAGGGGAGTTCTTGAACAGGAGCTCAAAACGGCCCGCATTCCGGAGCCGGAACTCACTCTAATTATGTCCTTGCATCAAAACATCGGATATTGGCCGGCAGGTCCAGGGTCCGATATCCGAGTCTCTAGTGAGAGAGGAGTGCGACAAGGTTGTCCTCTTGCCCCTAGTCTATGGACGCTTGTCACGGTTGCTCTACTCCGTGCTATGGCGGGCACTGACTCTCTTGAATGGATACAGAATGACACCACCATGTTCGCGGATGACCTCCTTCTCCAATGGGAGTATACTAGTATCCCGGAACTTGAGCGTATGCTCTCTACCATCCAAGAGTGCTTTCGGGTGCTTGCGCGTCTAGGCCTTCAGGTACAACACCGCAAAACTCAGCTGCTCGTGGCCCACAAAGGTCGCCTGGCGCATCGATGGTGGCAGATGCACACGGCCTCCACATCGGAGGGCCGGTTTCTTCGTATTCCACAGCCGAATCAAAGGGACTTGCGACTTCCCATTGTCACCCAGCTCACCTACCTAGGTATCGTCCTTTCTTATAAGGATGCAGCCACCGCTACCGTCGAACACCGTCTTCAGGTGGCTGAGGCCCAACGTGCTCGCCTCCTCAAAGTGCTGCACTCGCGTACCCTCCCTCTACGCAAACGAGTGCAGCTCTGGGCGGCGTGTGTTCGTAGCTCGGGTGTGTTCGTAGCTCGGCCTTATACGGCCTACACCCACCTGTTGGACCTGCAGCAGAAGCATGTGGCACGAATCACCATTGTCCTTGTCAGGCACTTGAGGGCCATCTCTCGGAGCTTTGCTCACATGTCGCAGGAATCCAGTCAGGCCTTGCTCCTTAGACTGGGCGTGGAGGATCCACTGCCATTCCTGCTGCGCAGCGGTCAGAAGCTCCTGACCAAAACCCTCCAATCGCGGGATCCTATGGTGCACAGGCCACGCATACTGCAGTGGCTCACACATATCACGGAGACTAGGTTAGCCTTGGACTCGCATGTTGCCCAGGTGTTCCCACCCAATGTCGAGTCAGTTTCTGCTGAGACGGCGATAGCTGGTGAGGTCACTGAGTCTCTTCGAGTCGCCTCGCTCCCGGGTCCTCTTGTGGGAACCCGGCAAGGTGCTCAGGTATCGGGGCAGCACGGTCCCAGATCAGCCACGTTGTCCTGTCCCACGTGTCACCTCTGGTTTCCGGATCTCGCGGCCCTCAAAAGGCACCATGCTACGCACCACGCCTCCCCGGTAGCGCCTCCTCATCCCACTGCAGATGCGGCTGAAATTCGCCAACGCAGCGTGAATGGTATGCCGGTCTGTAGGCATTGTGGCAAGGACTACGTTACGTGGTTTAATCTCAAGCGGCACATACAGAAAGGGCACTGTGCAAGGCGTTGGCAAAGTGCACTGACTTCTCAGGAGAGTTCCGCCATTGAGCCTGTCTCTGCAAACACGAGCATCGTGCCGCCCGCAATCCAGGTACAGCAGTCTGAACCAGCTCTTCAAGAAACTGACTCTTATGCCACGGCCCCTGTTTTGGGTGAGCCGATGCCGGCAGGGAATCCTTCTCCCAGAGGCCCTCTCCTCAGTGCGATGCTACCTGTCTCCCCAGCTCAATGGCTCCAATTTGCTAGACGCCCTGAGGTACAGGAAACGTTGCGACACTTCTGTGCGACGTGTGGGCAATGGCTGGTGTCGGTGAAGAGCATTAAGCTACACTATAGACATGTCCATGGGGACATCTATAAGCGTTTTTGCCAGACTGCCGCCGCTGATTGTAGAAAAGTGGGTCACCTCATATCGCCATGTGTGTACTGTGGAGCCACCATCACACGCACGGACCAGCATTCTTGTACTTGTCCAGTGCTCTGGCAGGCACGTGTCTGTTGTCTGGTACAGGCGGACCTTGCATCAAAACGCATCGCCGAGCCGGCACCTGCCCTCAGCTCAACTCTGCCCAGCCATGGAGCATGTGCCCACGCAGATGGACTTGGACGAGGAAGAGCGGCAGTGCTTCAGGAACCTCCTAGGGAAACGAGCCCTCGCGCTCGGGGTGGAGTCGCCGAACAAGTACCCTCATCCAGGGGGGAAGGGTGTCCCACCGAATGGAGGTGGCAGACCTCGCCAGTTCCAGCCGAACTGCGGTCCACGCCAAGCGGCCCCCTCACAGGGGAGCCGAAGCAAGGAGGAAAACCGAGGACGATCGGGGACTTCTTCGGACGCGCTGCTGCACAAGATAGCCAAGGCACTCATAGTCCAGTCGGACTACATGTCGCGTCTCCAAAGCGACCATACGGTCATCTTCACATTTCGAAAGGGCGACGGCCCTCAGTTGATGGTGCCGCTACTTCACGAAGTTGCAGCAAATTGGCGAGATCAGCGAAGCAAGGGCAAAGTCACCAAGTCCCTCAAGCAAACTCTGCTCCAGTACGTGACAGCGGAAATCATCACCAGAGTCACCAC